TTGTGGCACTATAAGGATGCAGATTTGGGGTCACCACATAAGTCTAGCTAATACTCCGCTCATAGAGCCAGTTGATATTACCTCTCTAACATGAAACAGCTTTATAGATCAGTGCTTCTGTCTCTTTGACAGTGCCAGATTGCCTGAAAGCCTTGGCCAGTAAGCATCCAGAATTTGTCTGTCTGTCTACCTGATCCTGACCTGTTTCTGCCTCCTGATTTTTTGAGCCTGCCTAGCCCTTGTTGGATCTGTTTTTTTTTTTTTGTGCCGCCTGGATCCCTGACCTGTTTCTGTGCCCTGACCTTGTCCCTGGATTCTGTTTTGGATTCTCTGAAAATCTGATCACCTGTCTCTGACACTGGACCTCCTTTGACCAAGACTGTCTGCCAAGCCTCAGTGAGAATTCACTGTCAAGCAACCAAAGTTTTTTGGAACCAAGACACCCCACCTGGATATTAAGGAAGGTTAGTGGCTTAGCAGTCTGAACCTTAAATCATCTATCTCAGCCACTAACCTGTTCTCTCCCCTCCAGAGGCTCTGGCTCCCCTGATCCTGAATAACCTGCCTCATTCCCTCAATAAATCTGTTAAAGTTATTTCCTGTTGTGTTCTGGTAGTTTCTGGGAATCTGAATCTTAACATGCACAGGGAGAACATGTAAACTCCATGCAGAAAGACACAGGGCGAGGAATCTAACCTGTAACATTTTTGCTGCAATTCAGTTCCATTCAGATTATTTCTAGAGCACCAATTCACAACACATGTCATCTCAAGGCAATTTACAGAGAAATTTCAACCAGATCATACAGTCAAATTGGTTCAACGTTTTCTATGTAAGGGAAAGCAGCTGAATGCATCGACTCATTGACTCTACAGCAATTCCTCACACCAAGCATGCTTGTAGCGACAGTGGAAAGGAGAACTACGGAGAGACGAAACCTCCAGCAGTACCAGTTTGCGTGTGATCGGCCTTCTGCCGACTGGGGTTCAAAGACAAAAGCGGTCAAAAAACACGACCGAACATATTTTTAGTTGTTTCCCACTTTTTTAAGTATATAATTCCACATCTGTTACTTCATAGTCTTGATGCCTTCAGTGTGAATCTACAATTTTCATAGTCACGGAAATAAAGAACACTCTTTGAATGAGAAGATGTGTCCAAACTTTTGGTAAGTACTATATATATGGGTAAAATACTGCATTGTTTTATTTACCAATATAAAAATGCAAAATATTTCTTTATATATATATATATATATATATATATATATATATATATATATATATATATATATATATATATATATATATATATATATATATATATATATACACTACTGTTCAAAAGTTTGGGGTCACACTGAAATGTCCTACTACTCCCTTCAGAGGACAGCACAAACAGGCTCTAACCAGAGTAGAAAAAGAAGTGGGAGGCCGCGTTGCACAACTGAGCAAGAAGATAAGTACATGAGAGTCTCTCTCTGAAGGGAGTAGTACACACCGTTGTAGGAAATCTTCAATTTCTTAGCAATTTCTCGCGTGGAATAGCCTTCATTTCTAAGAACAAGAATAGACTGTCGAGTTTCAGATGAAAGTTCTCTTTTTCTGGCCATTTTCAGCGTTTAATTGACCCCACAAATGTGATGCTCCAGAAACTCAATCTGCTCAAAGGAAGGTCAGTTTTGTAGCTTCTGTAACGAGCTAAACTGTTTTCAGATGTGTGAACATGATTGCACAAGGGTTTTCTAATCATCAATTAGCCTTCTGAGCCAATGAGCAACACATTGTACCATTAGAACACTGGAGTGATAGTTGCTGGAAATGGGCCTCTATACACCTACGTAGATATTGCACCAAAAACCAGACATTTGCAGTTAGAATAGTCATTTAGCACATTAGCAATGTATAGGGTGTATTTCTTTAAAGTTAAGAGTAGTTTAAAGTTATCTCCATTGAAAAGTACAGAGCTTTTCCTTAAAAAATAAGGACATTTCAATGTGACCCCAAACTTTTGAACGGTACGGTGTGTGTATATATATATAATGTTTACTATGTTTCATGGATATAACATGTACATTGTTGATTTAGCACTTTTGGCAAATCTGTATTATTGTGGACCATTAACACATTCAGTTGGTTGTCATGGATTTGTACGTTTGTTGTATTACAATATTTATAGACTACATTGACTTCATACTGGCTATGCAATGGCATGTCCCTATTTATTTTTTTCCTATTTTTTTTTATTATAAGTTAAAATAATCTACTTATGCCATGAAACAGCAAATGTGTCAAAATGATGAAATTATCTTTTTTTTTTATTTGTTAAGCTCAAATCATCGCTGTTCGAAGCTGTAGTGCACGGATTGTTTACTAACTAGGGAGTACCAATATGGCGACCGGTGGCTTCGCTTCAACCCCGTACTACCAACGGGCAATCAGCAATCCAGTGAATAAATAGAGATCGGCAACTAGTTTTTATTTATTTTATTTTTTTAAATAGGAAGTGATTTTTTTTTTTTTTTTTTTTCACTTAAAGTCAAACAACAATATACAGGTGCTGGTCATAAAATTAGAATATCATGAAAAAGTAGATTGATTTCAGTAATTCCATTTAAAAAGTGAAACTTGTATATTATATTCATACATTACATACAAACTCATATATTTCAGATGTTTATTTTGTTTAATTTTGATGATTACAAATGACAACAAATGAAAATCTCAAATTCATCATATCAGAAAATTAGAATATTGTGAAAAGGTTCAAAATTGATGGCCCCTGGTGCCACACTCTAATCAGCTAATTAACTCAAACCACCTGCAAAAGCCTTTAAATGGTCTTTCAGTCTAGTTCTATAGGCTACACAATCATGGGGAAGACTGCTGACTTGACAGTTGTCCAAAAGACGACCATCGACACCTTGCACAAGGAGGGCAAGACACAAAAGGTCATCGCTAAAGAGGCTGGCTGTTCACAGAGCTCAGTGTCCAAGCACATTAATAGAGAGGCGAAGGGAAGGAAAAGATGTGGTCGAAAAAAGTGTACAAGCAAGAGAGATAACCGCACCCTGGAGAGGATTGTGAAACAAAACCCATTCAAAAATGTGGGGGAGATTCACAAAGAGTGGACTGCAGCTGGAGTGAGTGCTTCAAGAACCACCACACACAGACGTATGAAAGACATGGGTTTCTGCTGTCGCATTCCTTGTGTCAAGCCACTCTTGAACCACAGACAGCGTCAGAAGCGTCTTGCCTGGGCTAAAGAGAAACAGGACTGGACTGCTGGTGAGTGGTCCAAAGTCATGTTCTCTGATGAAAGTAAATTTTGCATTTCCTTTGGAAATCAAGGTCCCAGAGTCTGGAGGAAAAGAAGAGAGGCACTTCATCCACGTTGCTTGAAGTCCAGTGTAAAGTTTCCACAGTCAGTGATGGTTTGGGGTGCCATGTCATCTGCTGGTGTTGGTCCATTGTGTTTTCTGAGGTCCAGGGTCAACGCAGCCACATACCAGGAAGTTTTAGAGCACTTCATGCTTCCTGCAGCTGACCAACTTTTTGGAGATGCAGATTTCATTTTCCAACAGGACTTGGCACCTGCACACAGTGCCAAAGCTACCAGTACCTGGTTGAAGGACCATGGTATCCCTGTTCTTAATTGGCCAGCAAACTCTCCTGACCTTAACCCCATAGAAAATCTATGGGGTATTGTGAAGAAGAAGATGCAATACACCAGACCCAACAATTCAGAAGAGCTAAAAGCCACTATTAGAGCAACCTGGGCTATCATAACACCTGAGCAGTGCCACAGACTGATCGACTCCATGCCACGCCGCATTGCTGCAGTAATACAGGCCAAAGGAGGCCCAACTAAATACTGAGTGCTGTACATGCTCATACTTTTCATGTTCATACTTTTCAGTTGGCCAACATTTCTATAAATCCTTTGTTTTTATTGGTCTTCAGTAATATTCTAATTTTCTGATATGATGAATTTGAGATTTTCATTTGTTGTCATTTGTAATCATCAAAATTAAACAAAATAAACATCTGAAATATATGAGTTTGTATGTAATGTATGAATATAATATACAAGTTTCACTTTTTAAATGGAATTACAGAAATCAATCTACTTTTTCATGATATTCTAATTTTATGACCAGCACCTGTATAAACAAACAAACAAATAAATATGCCAGGGGGTATGTCACAATAAACAAGTACAGTTAGGAGAAAAAAACATGCAATTATATACGCGCTGGGGAGTGTCATATATATATGTGTATTTATTATACAAATAGATATATCTTCTACAACATTAAGTTGTCTAGAATTTCTAGTTGGGAACAGATTGTTATGGTTTTTTGAGCTTTCTGATGAGAAGAAAGATGAATTGTATGAAAATATTGTTTGACTTCTATTAAATAAGCTTTAAAGTCTGTTTTTTTTTTTTTAGAAATTTAAATTTATGCAAGTGAAATTTGGCCAACAAAATTAAAAGATTGATAAGGAAAGGTTTGGGAAACATTTTACTTTGCAGTTGAAAGCCAAATAAAATGTTTTTCCAATGAAGCTGAAATTTTTTCATAACATTTGAATTCACATAGTTGCAAAAGTGTAACCAAAACGTCTTAGAGTATGGACACAACCAAAATAACAAATGTGTTACAGTTTCTGGGAGAAGATCACAAAAAGTGCAATTCACAGGAATATCAGGTTTAAACTTTTTTAGGTAGTCTTTTACAGGATAAATCCTGTGAATGAGTTTGAATGAGACTTCTTTCACCTTGTTAGTGAGGAGAAAGTGATTAGGTAACAGCCAAGTGTGTTTCCAGGACACATCAGACACAAATCGGTTCCAACATGATAGAGATCGGCAACTAGTCCTATTGTACCTGAATGCGGCATGACGCACCATGCTAGAAGCGACGCGATGACGCGCACGTAGCCTGTCCCCGCCCCCTTCCAACCCCCCAACCTCCAAAGGGGCTACTGCTGTAGCTGCTTCATGCTCTTAGACGCTCGGACAGCCTGCTGCTGGCCTCTCGGTACACCCTGCCCCCCTGCCCTCCGCCGCTTTCATTTTTTATTTTTTTGCTGTATGGCATTTTGTGTTTGGAGGAACCGGAGACTGGAGGACATTTCTGTTCATTCATTCCTCATCAGCAACAATGGCAGCGCAGGATTTTAATTTCTTGCTCGCTACGGATTCCTACAAGGTGAGCGGATCCAGTCAGTGGTCCTTGTGGTCTTCTTCTCCGTCATGTTTCCGGTGTGTAGTGAGCCTATATTAGGATCGAGCTGCTGTGACCGGATCAGCAGCTAAATGACGGTGAGAGCAAGAATCGAAAGTTAAAGCTGATGGATGCTGGAACAGTGAGCACTATTCCATCTGAGTTTAACTGACCAATGCTCACACCAACCACATAACATTAAGAGTTGGCTGTTTAACACATTTGTTGGTGATTAAATTAACACAACTAACGTGACATTTCCATATTAGTTCAGTAGTTAAATGAGCAGTGAGTTACCTGGGCATGTTGTGCCATAGGTAACTAAGAAATACCACAACACTAAAACTTCCTTACAGATTTTTACACCATTTTAATTATAGTTTTGAGGAGTTTCATGTCTTTAAGCTGGATGTTTGATCTGGATGGGTTTTTTAAATGTCTGTTCTAATAGACATTATTAGAAAGATATTGGGGATTATTTATTTATCTTGCTTTCAAAAACATTATGGGGAAATGACCTAAAACCACAAAAGACTGCTTTATTTTCTTATTTTAATGTTACGTTAGAAAGTAAGGCTGAAACAATGAATCAGGTTAAAAGTGATGAATGGATGACTACTCCGGCTTCCTCCCACAGTAGAAAAACATGACTGTTAGGCTAATTGGCTTCTCTAGATCCTCCTTAGGTGTGAGTGTCAATGGTTGTTTGTCCTGTTTGTCTCTGTGTCCCCACCAATCTGTCCAGGGTAGACCCCACCAATCTGTCCAGGGTAGACCCCACCACTCTGTCCAGGGTGGACCCCACCTCTCTGTCCAGGGTAGACCCCACCAATCTGTCCAGGGTAGACCCCACCACTCTGTCCAGGGTAGACCCCACCACTCTGTCCAGGGTGGACCCCACCTCTCTGTCCAGGGTAGACCCCACCAATCTGTCCAGGGTAGACCCCACCACTCTGTCCAGGGTGGACCCCACCTCTCTGTCCAGGGTAGACCCCACCAATCTGTCCAGGGTAGACCCCACCTCTCTGTCCAGGGTGGACCCCACCACTGTAGACCCCACCACTCTGTCCAGGGTAGACCCCACCAATCTGTCCAGGGTAGACCTCCACCACTCTGTCCAGGGTAGACCCCACCAATCTGTCCAGGGTAGACCCCACCAATCTGTCCAGGGTGGACTCCACCACTCTGTCCAGGGTGGACCCCTCCTCTCTGTCCAGGGTGGACCCCACCAATCTGTCCAGGGTAGACCCCACCAATCTGTCCAGGGTAGACCCCACCACTCTGTCCAGGGTGGACCCCACCTCTCTGTCCAGGGTAGACCCCACCAATCTGTCCAGGGTAGACCCCACCACTCTGTCCAGGGTAGACCCCACCACTCTGTCCAGGGTGGACCCCACCTCTCTGTCCAGGGTAGACCCCACCAATCTGTCCAGGGTAGACCCCACCACTCTGTCCAGGGTGGACCCCACCTCTCTGTCCAGGGTAGACCCCACCAATCTGTCCAGGGTAGACCCCACCACTCTGTCCAGGGTAGACCCCACCACTCTGTCCAGGGTGGACCCCACCTCTCTGTCCAGGGTAGACCCCACCAATCTGTCCAGGGTAGACCCCACCACTCTGTCCAGGGTGGACCCCACCTCTCTGTCCAGGGTAGACCCCACCAATCTGTCCAGGGTAGACCCCACCTCTCTGTCCAGGGTGGACCCCACCACTGTAGACCCCACCACTCTGTCCAGGGTAGACCCCACCAATCTGTCCAGGGTAGACCTCCACCACTCTGTCCAGGGTAGACCCCACCAATCTGTCCAGGGTAGACCCCACCAATCTGTCCAGGGTGGACTCCACCACTCTGTCCAGGGTGGACCCCTCCTCTCTGTCCAGGGTGGACCCCACCAATCTGTCCAGGGTAGACCCCACCAATCTGTCCAGGGTGGACCCCACCAATCTGTCCAGGGTAGACCCCACCAATCTGTCCAGGGTGGACCCCACCACTCTGTCCAGGGTGGACCCCTCCTCTCTGTCCAGGGTGGACCCCACCAATCTGTCCAGGGTAGACCCCACCACTCTGTCCAGGGTAGACCCCACCAATCTGTCCAGGGTAGACCTCCACCACTCTGTCCAGGGTAGACCCCACCACTCTGTCCAGGGTGGACCCCACTACTCTGTCCAGGGTGGACCCCACCAATCTGTCCAGGGTAGACCTCCACCACTCTGTCCAGGGTAGACCCCACCACTCTGTCCAGGGTGGACCCCACCACTCTGTCCAGGGTAGACCCCACCAATCTGTCCAGGGTAGACCTCCACCACTCTGTCCAGGGTAGACCCCACCACTCTGTCCAGGGTAGACCTCCACCACTCTGTCCAGGGTAGACCCCACCACTCTGTCCAGGGTAGACCCCACCACTCTGTCTGGTTTAATTTGATAAAAAACATTCTTTATGGAACATTTAGCTCTCTTATTATCAATCAATTAATCGAAAAAATAATCAACAGATTAATCGATTTATAAAATAATTGGTTGCAGTCCTGCTATAAAGCACAATTTGCTCTGAATCAAGTAGCCTTACGGACATCAGAAGAAAACTGTTGCTGCTGAAACCTTAAACCTCATTTAGTAAACTATGTCCACTTTGTCCCTTAACTCAGTAGATTCATTCTAAAATTATAGATCTCATCGGTTTAGATGCTGGAATTGAATTGAAGGATGTTTCTGGGATAAAATAAATGCGAGTGGAAAAGCTCCACCAGTCAAAACCTGGAAAAAAGAGAATGTCTAAAAATGTTGTCAAATTCAGTTTAACAACTCGTGTTGTCCCGATAAAATGTTGAGAAGTGAGCGATTCTGATATGGAACTGATTGGATATCAGCATGAATCTTAGGTGCTTTTATTACTTCTTTACTGTAGAAATTAAAATAGGCTAGTGCCGCATTTCCACTAGCCCCCTTGGTCCCTTTCTGAACAGACGAAGAGATCTTTGAATTGCAAAACCAGACACGCCGAATAACCCGCGAAATGAGTCAGCTGACTGTAAATAGGCGATGAAGCAGTCTGCTGATGCACTCTTTATCAGAAAACCGAGCCACAGATGAACCGTGTCAAGCTCTACTGTTGAACTATTACTAGATTTAGCGCGGTTCGGTTGTGTCTGGCACGCTTCAGTATAGTTGGGTTCCATTAACACTGCTTTCTCTGTTTCCTTGCTCAGGCCGTTCTTGGCATGGCTTCTAAAGCAGGGCTCGATGTAAACCATTGCCCAATCGCCCGGGGCAAGTAGTTTTTATTGTTGGGAGTGTACAAATTTCATTGCATTTGCCCACTGGGCACTTCATTAATTTTTTTTTATTTTTTTCATTAATTTCATACATTTTTATTTTATTTTATATTTTTTTCGGTGTAACAATAAACATATACCGAACCGAACTGAAAACTGTGACCACGAAACCGTGAACCGAACCGTCTATTTTGTGAACCGTTCCACCCCTAGTACATGGACACCAATGGGAATGGCAACAGACTGATCCTATCTCAGAAGGAAATTTCTTTCCTTACATGAAAAATTTTTATTTTTTAAAATGTTTGTACCTCTCAGACCTCTCAGGGAAACTCTGAACCAAACGTAGAGCTGTAGCTTTTGTTCCTGATGCTCTGCCAATATGGAACAAACTCCGAGGAATCTCTAAATGAGCTGAAACTCTAAGTTGCTTTTAAACGGGAATATAATCCTACTCTTTTAGAGGTTCTTTTGACTGTTTCATTCATACTCTAATTTATTATTAATTCTCTTCTTCCTGAAATGTCCTGTGCAGAAAAATGGGTTTCAATCTTTGATGAATACCTGGAGTGTTCAGTCCCTTTATTCTGCCCAAAGGTCACATCAGATTCGATATAATGGGCCCCCTATCGGTATCGGCCTTAAAACTGAATATCGGACATCGGCCACCCCACCGATATTTAATCCGATATTTGATCAGCTTCTGAGTTTCTGAAGTCTAAAAAAAAAAAAAAAAATACTACTTCTTCTTCTTCCTCAAAAACTTCTTTTTTACTGACTTAAAAACTTCTAAAGACGAGGGAAAAAATATTGATCCATTAAAATATCCCAATATCTTCATATGCTGATATATTGCCATTTAAAAACACCATATCAATCTCTTTTACTAATGAAATATTGCTATACGTCATCGTTATGCTACGAAATCCCCCGAAAATTCACCAAATGTTGCCATATTTTTATATGTTGATATATTGACGCGGTATCGATCTATTTTACTAACAAAATCTCACAAGAATTTGCAAAATATCACGAGAGTTTGTAACAGAACGATGAAATTTCACCAGATTTTGAAAGTAAAATAGATCGATACCGCGTTTTTAAAAATTAATTTGATATCAGCATATGAAAATATATTTGAGTTTATTATTTTTCAAAGTGTCAGAAATGGATAACAAAACTGCTATTTTCAATGACTACTTATTTTTGTCCAGCTTTAACATCGGTATCGATATCGGTTATCGGCTACATGAGGTTTAAAATATCGGCATATCGGATATCGGCCAAAATCCCAATATCCTGCATCCCTAATATGAATGTTTTCCATTGTCAAAAGTCTCTTTCCCACTGAAAATGGCGGGTCGACCCATGTTTGAAAAACAGTCAGCCTTTAGCTCCCTTCCCTCTGGCATAGAAAGCTGGTCTAACCCCTCACTGGCAACTGTGTGGCCTCTGTCCCCCTGTAGCTGCGTGTCTGGTGACATCATCACGCTAGATTAGCATTAGCGATGCCACCAGTGTGACAGAAATCAGGAAGGTAATCAATGGAGAGCAACATGTAAGGAATCCAACAAGACAAAGCCAACAGTGTTTACCAGCCGCTCTGTAGGAAGGAAATTGGCTTAAATGCGGCGCAGAAAGAGCCATTAGCAGATTTTTCTCACATGAATGTCCTCAGGGCTTCAGAGTCTTAATAGAGAATTGTAGGTGTAGCTGGTGTGGTTTCACCTCTGCTGAGACGGTATGCTGAAACACTTTTTTTTACTGCTTTTTCCTAACGTTTGGGAAGAGAAGTACAGAGAGTGAGACTCAAACAGAGAAGTTTAGATTGATCAGAGGATGAGTTTTTGTTTAATACTCCAGAAGAAGCATTTTGGAAATTGACAAGTGTTCATTTTGTGGGTTGATTTTAATCTTTGAGGTTTGTTTTGTCTCTTTTATTGATTTTTGTACAGACGTTAACCAGAGGGCGGGGCTTAATTCCTTACTCAGTCATGATGTGATTCATGTCAGTTTAGTTTATTGGGAAAAGAATCTGAAACCAGTATCTGTCTCAGTATCTGTTTAGCTTTCGCTTTCTTTTCAGTCAGTCCGTTTTGAAGCAGGGTTGGGTTTCCTCAGTATATTAAAACACTTTGCTGGATCACATTAATGGGCTTTCCATCGCTTTCATGTCGGAAGTTTTTAAAAGCAGCAGCGACATATAGGGAAACAAACTGTTGTAAAATATAAAACATTGCTAGAAAAATAAATCGGTCAGAAATGGAGTAAGGGGATTACTGGACAATTGCAAATTTGTGGAATATGATGAAATTCAGTCACTATGGGATGTTTTGTGATATTCAATTCAGTTTATTTTATTGCGGCAATTCACGTCACGTCATCTCTACAGTTCACCAGATCATCCAATCAGATTGATTCAAAGTTTTCTATCTAAGGAAAACCAGCTGATTGCATCGACTCATTGACTCTTCAGCAATCCCTCACACTAAGCATGCTTGTAGCGACAGTGGAGAGGAAAAACTCCCTTTGAACAGGTTGTGAGTTCAATCCCCCACTCCCACAGACTGCCACTCTGGGTCCCTGAGCAAGACCTTTAACCTCACACTGCTCCCCAATGGATGGGTTAAATACAGAGAATTCATTTCGTTGCTCCGTACTTGTGACAGTGGAATCACAATAAAGTTGAATTCTGTTCTATAATCAATTATTTAATAGTGGAATTGGAAAAATGTTCCAATTCCATTTGTGATTGGAGCAAAATTCAGAAATCTGATTAAATACATTTCCTAATCCTAAACTGCAACACTTAAAGGGCTATATATATATGTATTAGGGATGGGACGATTTATGAAAACCGTCCTAACCGTTCGGTTCGACTGCCTCGGTTCGGTTCGCGTGTGTTGCGTTCGGTTCATACGCTGCTCCTTTTTCTCATAGGCGAAGCGTTTACACTCCAGAGCAGAAGGTGGCGGTACTGCGACCAAAGCCAACCACCAGTAGTAAACAAGAAGAAGAAGCGAAGCAGCGTAGCCGGGTGTAGCCGAAAAAAATCAGTTGTTGTGGAGAATTGTGTGGGTATGGCGAGTGGGAAAGAACAGGAGTTGGAAGACGCGCCAGCAGCACTTTATAGGTCTGCTGTATGGGACCACTTTGCATTTAGAGTGACCTACGATGACGGCGGGAAGAAAGCTGTGGATAAAAGTGCAACAGTGTGCGAGCATTGTGCAACACGTTTTGTTTATGCTAACAGCAACACGACCAAGATGTCAGGCTAACCCCGAAATCCCTCATACTCCGTCAGCGCTCCGCCCCGCTGCGCTCCAGACCGGCTGCTCAAAGCAAAGCCTGCAGCCTCCACTGTGGCTCCGTCTGCTCCCCTCTGAGTCCCTTGGAGATGGTAGAGGGCATGCGCCAGATGATTACATTCAAAGCAGCAAAACATATGGAAATGATCCAGGGTTTCCGCGGATCATTAAAAATAATTACAATCCATTATATTTTGGGGGATTTTTTAATTAATTTCATACATTTTTATGGGATTTTGGTGTAACAATCAACATATACCAAATCGAACCAAACCGAAAACCGTGACCACGAAATCATGAATCGAACCGAACCGTGGATTTTGTGAACCGTTCCACCCCTAATATATATATATATATTTACAAAAAAAGTACTTCCTTTGGCATTCAGTCAGAAGATTTTTAAATCCCAAACTCCACCTCTTTATGTTGCTTTCGTTCTCCTGTTTCTGGTTCACAACTTTTGCAGGTTATGTTAGATCTGTTTATGTGTTGGACCTTAGTCAACACGTTTCCTGAGTTCCTGAATGGATTCTGTGAACGAACACTTTTAGGAGTGACCTTCAGTTTCCTTGTCTCTTTGTGGAGCCTTCCAGGGGCTGTCCTGCTGCCGCGCACTAAGAGACCTTAGAGGTTGTTTTGTTTTATGTTTGATTAGCTGATTTATTTTTTATTTTTTTTGTTACACCATGAGAATCTTATATTAAGACACAGAATATTGGATCTGGGTCATATCTATGCTATAATCATAATTTCTAAATAATCAAAATGTTTAGTGTTGAACACCATTTGTAATGATTTTTATAAGACTTTATTTTCCTAAAAAAGTGAATTTTTCAAAATATTTTACACCCATTTATTGTTTTGTTTGTTCAATGTAAAGTAGTTATTGGGAACTAAATGAACATCTTTGGTGTTCCTTTTTCAGATTACACACTACAAACAATACCCTCCCAATGTCAGCAAAGTTTACTCCTACTTCGAGTGCCGGCGGAAGATCGGCTCCCAGTTCAATGAGGTGGTGTTCTTTGGTCTGCAGTATCTGCTGAAGAAGTATCTCACAGGTATGTTTTCATGTTGATGAACCAGTGCTGATAACTCTAGGCCTGAAAGGCGTGAGTCCTTTCCACTGTATCTGAGCTTTCAAATGTTTCCCTTCTACCCTACATTTAGGCCGCTACACATATTTCCTTGAATGCATCTGCCTTTGACTGACATGTGGGCTGCCGCTCCCAGAACTCTGTAGTGGCATTTAGCACAAACACTGGTTACACTTAAAGTTGTCAAAATGACACTGAAATCAGGTTGATAAAGTTATCTTTAACAAGAGTACCACAAGCAGAAATGTTATTTTTGCCTGTGCGTGGTCGCATTTCCACGCCTGCAGGTGAATCAGAACGTCTCTCGGTCAATCTGACAGTTTGCATATAAAGGGGAGCCTCACACATGGAGGCGATGTTCATAAAACACCCTGGTGAGACAATTTTATTCAGTTCAGTTTATTTTTATAGCGCCAATTCACATCATGTCATCTCAGGTCACTTTACAGTTCATCAGATCATCCAGTTAAATTGATACAAAGTTTTCTATCAAAGGAAAACCAGCTGATTGCATCGACTCGAAAGAAATCCCTCACATTAAGCATGCCTGTGGTGACAGTGGAGAGGAAAAACTCCTGTGGAACTAGGGTTGTCAAAAGTATCGAAACTCAAAAAAGTATCGATACTGAAACGTATCCGGATACAATACTTGTTTTTAAAAGTATCGATACAGTGCCACCACCAGTGGCACCTAAGCAGTCGTTCATCTAAAGTACAGAATAGAGGAAAATGCACATTTAGAACACTGTGTGATTGAATAATTCTGTAAACTTTTCAGTTTCAGACTTTTTTTTTGTAACAGCTGCAGCTGCTGAGAATTATTTTTGTTTCTTATTCGGTTTGGCTAGTGTCATTGTTATGTGTGCAAAGCATAGCCAAGGAAGGAACACTTAATTTTAATTTATCAAGCTTGCTTAATATTGTGCACAGCATACAACCTTTATTGTATTTATTTATTAATGAAAATATTTCTGTAGAATGTTGGAGTCTTTGTTTTTATCCTTGTGGTATCGAAAATGGTATCGAGTATCGAGTATTTTCCTTAGTATCTGTATCGAGTTGAAAAGTTTAGTATCGTGACAGCCCTACTTTGAACAGGAAGAAACCTCCAGCAGAACCAGGCTCAGTGTGAGCGGCCATCTGCTGAGGCCCACTGGGGTTCAAGGAGACAAAAGCAGACATAGAAAAAGAAGCATAGATACAAAAGGCAACTTTAAAAGGCCAGGAAACACACTGCCAGGCAGACGAGCGTCGAGCCAGCTCCCGTGTCAAAGGAAACGTGAAGAAAGGCTTGTTTTATGACAAACATACATGCAACAGGCCCTCTCTGCCTCCAGACTTCCCTGCTTTGGACTCAAGCAAAGAAAACTGAATGACAGTGTAGAATGTAGCTGTTTTGTTACCATTATTTAAGCCCCTGCCATCAGCGCTTTAGCTGACGGGATCCGGCTGCACTGGTCCAGCCAGAAATCATTGGCATGCATGAAGGCAGCCTGTTTGACCTTCCTCTGTACAACTCAGCAGGACAATGAGGTTGCTGGTGAGGAGGTTCTGCTTTAAAGCCTCTTGTCAGAGACACAACCTTCTTACTCCATCCATCCATTTTCTGTAACGCTTGATCCCGGTTATGGTCAACCATTCACACACACACTCACACCTAAAGAGACTTTAGAGAAGCCAATAACTGACAATGTTGCAAAATGATTCTCATAATGTCATGACTTTATTCTCGTACTCTAGCTGGGCCTGAACTACATTTTTCTCACTTCAATTAATGCTTTTTTTTTCTGCACTACTCTAAAAATGCAGTAGTTTTGAAGAAAAAAAGGCAAAGGTGTCTAGATGGGTTTATTTTGGTTCATCGGGACATGAAGGAATATCAGCATGATCAGGACTAAACCACCTCAGTAACGGGAGGAAGTATCTAAGGGACACGGTTTGAATGCAGGAATGAGACTCATGCAACTTAAACAGAAAACTGTTTTTAGTTCTTTTTCCAAATAGTTTTAGTAACCAACAATAATTGTGAGATAAATAAAAAAAGAATGCAGTTTTAATTTGATATCTGCCTCATTTATTTCCATATGTTCTGTTATGCTACGTTCAAACCTGACGCAGCAGAAGCAGCTGGTTTCCATGCAAAACCAATGGTTGACGCGCATCAAGTCGCAGCAGAAGGTCCTGCAGCGCATTTTAACCAGCAGGAGCAGCGAGTCTGAGCATCTGCCGCAACGACGCGCTTCAGAAACAGCAGCTGATGGAGTTGGAAACCTTTAACTTTATCTGCTGGACGCGCCTCATCAACCAATGAGAGAAGCTGATCTGGGAGCTGGCAGGGAGTCAGACGCAGCACTGCTGATGCAGAGCGCTATGATCACTCCTCTGAAACAGTTTATTAACGCCTAAATTAACTTCAAATGTAGAAACCTGCCGGCAGAATATGTTGGCTTTTATTATCCTGCTGCCTGCAGTTTGTAGCACAGACCTGAAAAACGCTAACATCTACTTCCAGCCGCCACCAACAGGAGGGGAAAACCCTGGAGAGGCGAGCGGGCCTGAGGCAGCTGCTGCTGGGGATTCCCAGTGACAGCGCAGCGCCGGTGTAGGTACCAGATTGACTCGGGGGCCTGCGCCTTTTGATGACGTCACAATACATAATTGTTTTAACGTTTGCACAATTGCGCAAAACATTTTGATTGGTCTGGACAGCTTACTAAAGTAATTATAGCGGGGTGTAGGTTTTATTCGAAAGCGGGATTGCTGTTTGTAAACGGACAATTTTACGAAGACATTCTCCATGGTCCCTGCGCCTTCTGATGACGTCACCGAATTCGCCATGGGCCTTGCGCCTCCCGATGACGTGACATTATGGCAATGCCACTCAAACAAACTACATTGAGCCCGCGGTCTGCATTTGTAACGAGAATAAATTCAGGAGAATGAAGCTAAAGGGATACAAAAAATAAACTTGTAATATTACAAAACCAAAAATACTACGAATACAAAGTATATTCAGAGATTAAAGTCCCTCTGATACTGTTTAAGTGACTGAGAAACTGCAGATTTGCCACATTTAAGATGGCGGACGCTCTGACGCATCTCAAAAGGCGCAGGCCCCCGAGTCAATCTGGCAGCCCGAGTCAATCTGGTACCTACACCGGTATGTGGGGGTCTGAGCGGCTCCCACAGAGAAATAATCTTTGAAGGCAGGATGGTAATCTGGATGAACTGACTGCACAGACCATGTTTTCAGGAGGACTTTCTCACTTCAACATAGATTCTAACTACTTTTTACCCGCTGATCACAGCTAATATAGCTGCCATTGTTCCAGGCAGAGAAAGGATAGGGTAGGGCTGGGCGATAATTCAATAACGATATATATCGATCGATAGACGTGTGGCGCAATAGAAAAAAAGAGAGTCGATAAAAGTTCGATAAAGAAACGCAGTTTTCCTTCTCATTGTAGCCTAGCATGTAGGTTTATGCTAGTCACTGCTTCCTCCCAACCAATCGCAATCGCGGACCCAGGCACGCCGTCACCAAGCGCCGCCCTCTCAAACCACAACACAGAGCACATGAAGATGTCGCAGCAAGGAGAGGCGGAGGAAATTGTTCCATAGAAGGGTTTTTGTAGTTCTGCAGTCTGGCAGTATTTCGGTCATGGCAAGTCGGACCAAAAACAAACCACAGTCATCTGGAAAATGTGTCGGGAACATTATTTATTTAAATTTATTTTGGTCACTTTTCTGGTCACTTTAGTTTATTCTTTGTCAGTATTTAATAACATAACCCAGGTCTCTTAAGTTATTTTTCTTTAAAACAATTCTGTTATGGTTAAAAAAGTTGGTTAAATAAAGATTTAATTGGAAGTCTGTGTTTGTGTTCTTTATTAAAATTAAATCATTTAGCAATATTATAAAAAGTCCAGGCAGAGCTGCACATAAAATATGGTTTCAAATCTTTTCAATGATTATCGATATCGATCAATATGCATTTTTTTTTTTATCGATAAGCTTTTTTTCTATATCGCCCAGCCCTAGGATAGAGTAGCTCCGCCCACCACGCATCAGACCCACTTTCCTCCCCGCGCTAGGAGCAGCAAACATGCTTCAGCCGCGCGTCAGAACTAAACTGGTACAAGCATCAACAATGTTGTCTTGTCAGATTTCCTGGTGGGTCCTGCTCTCTGCAGCATGTGTGGCGATCTCCACTAACAGGTTGCTTGCTTTGTCATTTTCAGGCCCGGTCGTCACTGAAGACAAGATTCAGGAGGCCAAGCTCTTCTACCAGATGCATTTCAAACAGGCTGTGTTTGATGAAGAGGGTTGGAGAAAAATCTTAGAGGTATTCAGAAGGTTTCATTTACATCTGATTAACCATCTTTTTAAAATTTTCAATGATGTTATTTTTGCCTGACAGAAACACGACGGTCGTCTTCCCATTCGGATTAAAGCTTTCCCAGAAGGGAAGATCATACCACGGGGAAATGTACTGTTCACTGTGGAAAACACAGATCCAGACTTCTACTGGCTCACCAACTACATTGAGGTAAATATGAAAAATGTTCTTCTGTTCTTAACAAAGTGTTTATTCATCATCAAAGTTGCTGGCTACAGCTCAGAGCCAGATGACATCCGAAGGGGGTAATGCGGGAACATCTTTCATCAACAAACGCAAAAATCACGTCCTTTTGCTCGGTTTTCTAAAATAAATAGTAGGGCTGCAACAACGAATCGATAAAATCGATAAAAATCGACTTTTAAAAGCGTTGGCAACGAATTTCATCATCGATTAGTTGTGTTGCGCGATTAATGCGTCATCCGCCGCCGCCGTCATCACTGCCACTTGACTGAAACGGGGGAAGAAAAAAACTTACGGCAGAGCGAGCCAGCGCTGCATGTGCGCAGTGTTGCCAACTCAGCGACTTTGTCGCTATATTTAGCGACTTTTCAGACCCCTCCAGCGACTATTTTTTTTAAAAAGCGACTAGCGACAAATCTGGCGACTTTTTACGGTGTCACTGGCGGCTTTTGGAGACTCTTACGTGAAAGCATGCATCGTTCCTACTCTGCCGTGGGGCGCCTCCCCCATCCCAACCCCGTTCTCCCGCAGGAATCAGCGCTGCAGTCAGAGCCGCAGGATGTTTACCCTCAGCGTCCAGACTGCAAATGAAGCGCGCATGCGCCGGGATTGACGGCGCAAATTGATCACAATAATTAAAATAGCCTTTATAGATAAATTAACTTCAAATTATGAGGGCAAGGCTTTTAAAGTTTAAATCTTCTGGCAAAGATAAAGTAAAGAAGATCCTGCAATTTATGGAAGTAAAGCAGAATAAAATCCAGCAAGATCAGTAATATGTCAATTAATTATCTGCCACATTCCCATGTAAATATCTGTCTTTGGAGGATGTGTTTTTTAGCACCCCTAGTTCTCTCATTTTTATTCCAAATACAATTTATAATTTGAATCACAGGGCTATTTTTATCTCTATGGTTCAGTATTTTCTCAAGTAGCAACATTAACTGCTATACTTTCCTGTCTTAAAAGGCAGAACTCTTCTAGTCTAAAAAAACTCAGTTGTTGAAATGGGGGGGCCTATTGTTTGAACCCCTTAGGGGCTTTAAAAACAAAAATGTCTTTTTTTGCGCTTAATGAAACAAAGTAGCCTATATTTTGTGGATGTACAGCTACATTTCTCATGTAAGTTTGCGTAGTTTTAACACAAACATTTATTTTTCATATTGCACCAGGACAGTTAATGAGCAACCTGTACTTGTGTGCTTGTTTGTTCTGTCTAAAATGTTTATTTTGAAATAAAGAGGTTAATATAATGATATACTTCATTTAAATAAGAACATCAACACGACTATCAGTCTACCTGTAGTTCACCCAAGCAGAGCACTTATTACGCATCAGATGGAAAATATGCTGATGTAGGTTCTCAGTCATCCAGGTCATAGTCTTTCCGTAAAAATAAATTTTGACGGGAAAATCAGATGGAAAGCTTTGGTTTGGCGGAGGGAAGGCCTTTGGCTCGGTCCGCTTTCTGCAGACTCGTCTTCAGTCCGTCTGTCCGTCCAACAGCAACTCAAAGAGATTTGAATCAATCTGATGCAACAATAAGAGGCGATTTGTTTTATACCTCACTGAAGCACAGGATGTCTCCCTTTTAGCTACGGTGGTTAGCGCGGTTTCCTGGATGGGAGGTGAAATGTCTTCAAACTTGGAAACAAAGTCCAGTGGATTGTTTTTAAACTTTTTTAAAGATGAATATGACCTGGATGACTGAGAATATTCTTCTGAAGTGAGAAAGTCCTCCTGAAAACATGGTCTGTGCAGTCAGTTCATCCAGATTACCATCCTGCCTTCAAAGATTATTTCTCTGTGGGAGCCGCTCAGACCCCCACATACCGGCGCTGCGCTGTCACTGGGAATCCCCAGCAGCAGCTGCCTCAGGCCCGGGAGCCTCTCCAGGGTTTTCCCCTCCTGTTGGTGGCGGCTGGAAGTAGATGTTAGCGTTTCTGCTGCGCGAAGCTTGTTGGGTGTGAAGGTTGCATTAGAAGACTGTTCCTGTCATCCTTTTGAGCTTTGCTCCTCTTGTTTGCTACTCAGAAGTGTCTTTGATCCTTGTTGTTTTTAAATGTCCATAGACCATGCTGGTCCAGATGTGGTATCCCATCACAGTAGCTACGATATCCAGAGAGTTCAAGAAGATCCTGGCCAAACATCTCAAAGCCACCTCTGGGAGCCTGGAGGGCCTGGACCTGAAACTGCATGACTTTGGCTACAGAGGAGTCTCATCTCAGGAGGTTAGGAAGTCTCTCTGATTCTGATTTCTAATGACTGGAGACAGCCAGCTCATTATGTCCACCTCTAGTGCTACCGACTTTATTTTATAAAAAGGGTTTCAGGTAAAGTAAAAACATTTCTAGTGATGTAGGTTCAAATGAAGAGAGTTGGAAAAAAGATCATTCATCATAATTTAAGAGATTAAACCTTACAAAATCATACATGTCTGATCTAATATTAAAGACCATTTGAAAAAGGCAAGAGTTCACATTTCACACCGTTTGATCCTGGGGCCACGAATCAAACCTGGAACCTTCTCGCTGCGAGGCAGCAGTGCTACCCACTGCCCCAGTGAGCCGCCTGCTTTTTATTATATCATTTATGATTGTCGTGATACATTTGTAGCCTGGAGAACAATTAAAATATATTGTCTAAACCAGTGGTTCCCAAAGATTTTCTTCTGGGCCCCCCTTTGGATTACAATAAAATTTCCACCCCCCTAGGGGGCGCGCCCCACACTTTGGGAACCACTGGTCTAAACAATCAGAATTAGTGATGATAAAAAACTCAATTGTGATTTTTTTCTTTATTCATTTTTGCTGTTGGCAAATTTAGTTTTATCACAATATTACAACACAAAATATGGTGATTTGATTTGAAGGCCAGATATGTAATAAAAGATTGTACCTGTCATTTAGAGCATCATATTTGAAAACTTTGAAGATCCTAGTGGGAAGCTCAATGTTTGGACCATAATCCAATGAAAAAAAATATTTTAAACAAACATCATTTTCTTTTTTTTTCTGCACTGTCATTGAAACTGATTCCAGTTGTTTATATTTTTCTAATTTGAAGTCGGCCGCATTGGGTGGAGCCGCTCACCTGGTGAACTTCTGCAGTACAGACACCATAGCTGGAGTATTGATGGCTCAACGGTATTATGGCTGTCCAATGGCTGGCTTCTCCATTCCAGCAGCTGAACACAGGTAATACACACAGAGAGATGAGCTACTTCTAAGTTCTAATCCCTAAGAAAGAAGCTTGATATGTTTGTTAAAGAATCTTAAGGATCTTAAAGGAGAAGTCCGGTCAGCAAGGAATAATCAATATATAATTTTTAATACCTAAAACTTTTTGGGGGTTTTTACGGCACTAGTGGCCTCCTAGCGGGTCGTGTGCGCTAGCCACTGCGCCACCAAAGCACACCCATTTATACCTAAAACTAATTTAGTGTTAATAAGTAAATAAATAATAATTGTCGTGGTGATCACTGAGTCTGGGAGCGGCCATTTTTGCCCAAATATAGTAGCCCCTCCCTCCTGCCATCTTCCAGCAGTGACGTCATGGTGCGGTAAGCCTAGCGCCATTCTCCCCGCTTTCCAAGCAAAATCAATGGGAACTACTAGACACATCTGCAATCAACAACAATTATTGAAGATTTCCAGAGGACTTCACCATTGAAATTCACCAGAGCTATAGTGAAACTGACAATGCCCACGTGCATGGCAGCTGGATGCTGGAATACATCGGGTAAAAGGGAAAAAAAGAGTTATTCCACCTTTCTGATTCCTGATCCTCCACGGACGGGTTGGTCGTTGGATCGCCAACTTGAAGAGGGAGGATTTGCCATCGAACTTCTGGCCAGAGAAAAAACCCGTAATATGTAGCCAACATTTGGAAGAAGAATGTTTTCCAGATGACTTGGATAATAGCGCGTTGTGACAAACACCAGATACAGCACTGGGACTTGATCAACAGCCGATACCGCACCGTGACAATGTCACTAACCAGTAGGTGGCAGTAGTGTTCTTTGACAAACATGGATGCCTCCAGTAAAGCACATTCACATGAAAATTACTCTGAATTAAAAACACTGATCATTTATTGAAAAGGATGGAATCATTTCAGATTTAAAGCAATTCTGAATATAAACTGACTTTTCCTTTAAACAAATGTCCCTTTTTCTTAAAGAAACTATTTCTTCATTTTAGCGTCTTGACGATGTTGTTTGTCTCGTTCTCTCTTTCACTTCCTACACAGTACCATCATATCTTGGGGAAAGAACAAGGAGAAGGAAGCCTTTGAGAGCATCCTTGACCAGTTCCTGTCGGGTCCGGTGTCGGTTGTTAGCGACAGCTACGACATTTTTAACGCCTGTAAACACATCTGGGGAGACAAGCTAAAGGAGCGAGTCATGGAGCGCAGCGAAGACTCCTGCCTGGTGATCCGACCAGATTCTGGAGACCCAGCAGAGACCTTAATTGAGGTAAAGAGGAGAAATTTACAAGGATAAAGATTTATTTTTTTTTTTTTTTATTAAGAAACTTAAAATGTATTTTGGGGCAAAGAGAACTTGTGATGGGCACGGCTAACCAAAAGCTAGCTGTGATAGCCCATGTCGAGCCTCCGATTCCACATCCTCTGTCACTGCACCACCCCCGCTTTACGTAAATGTTAAAGGCATACGATGCAAGATTTTTCAGTTAATTAATGTGTTCCATAACGTTTTGGATGATTAAATTAGTCATTTCAGGTTGAACAAAGGTATTCTCGGCCGCCCTGGTGGTCTGTGGGGGAAATACCGCAGGAGCCCTCGGCCCGCACCCACAGGCTCAGAAGTCTTGCGAGAGTCGGTCTTGCTTTACGGCGAGAACTGCTACACGCCCCCAGTTAAAAGCATGCTCGTTGCTAGCGCAGTGGCGATCTTTGTGCAGTTATCATGGCGGAACCAGCGTGAAAACAGCGAAAGCCCATGTCGGAGCAGGCAAGAAAGAGGAAAAGGGCTGCGGACAGAGCTCAAAACAACCGCGCCTGGCTTGATGAGGAAACCAGGAGAACAGCTGAGCATATTTACGACAGTGCACTTTTACTTTCGCCCTCTGGGGGGAGCCTCGCTGAAAAATCAACACCGGTTGCATAGTATACCTTTAATCAACAAAAACTGTTCCATATACCCATTTTCAGACAATTTCCATCAGTTGATGTCATTTCTCTGGCTGTATATACCGACAGGTTTATTTGGTGGAGGGTTTTGTTTCTATTTATGTTCAGATGAAATTAGTTCATTTGGAAATCGGTGTCTGGTTGGTTTGGTTGATGTTAACTAGTCTTTTTTTGTGTGTATTTGGTTGATTCTTTCATTGATGTTTGTCAAAATGTCTGAAATAAATTCTCCTTCATTCATTCATCCACCGCTACTCCTCCGCATTTCACCTTCCACGTTCGTCTTCTCCGTCCTTCACCGTTAAGATACGGAGCCAAGCCATTCAATTTCAATTCAATTTATTTATATAGCGCCAAATTCACAACACATGTCATCTCAAGGCACTTTACAGTTCAACCAGATCATACAGTCAAATTGATACAAAGTTTTCTATCTAAGGAAAACCAGTTGATTGCATCGACTCATTGACTCAAATACAATCCCCCACACTAAGCATGCTTGTAGCGACAGTGGAGAGGAAAAACTCCCTTTTAACAGGAAGAAACCTCCAGCAGAACCAGGCTCAGTGTGAGCGGCCATCTGCTGAGGCCCACTGGGGTTCAAGGAGACAGAAGCAGAGATACAAAAAGCAGCTGTAAAAGGCGGCCCCGTCCAGGAAACACACAGCCAGGCAGACGAGCTCCAAGGCAGCTCCCATGCCAGAGGACGAAGAGAGCACATCCACTCAGTCACGGTCAGAGAAACAGGACCACACTGGAAAACAGGCCGATCTCCAACATCTATTAACAAGGGTGTTGATGGAAGCAGCACAGCTGATGTTTCTTTCCAGGATGACGTCACAGCCAAACAGGAACAGACGAGGCAAAGCTACTCTGAGGAAAAGCAGAGAGAGCAGAAGGTTAGAGATTGAACTAACAGATTCTGCAGAATAGGAGAACAGAGAGAGAATGAAGCAGAATGATGAAATGGGGGTCCCTATGTCCTCCAAAAGTCTAAGCCTATAGCAGCAGAACTATAGAGATAGCTCAGGATAACCTGAGCCACTCTAACTAGAAGCTTTATCAAAAAGGAAAGTTTTAAGCCTAGCCTTAAAAGTAGACAGGGTGTCTGCCTCACGGACTAAAACTGGTAGTTGGTTCCACAGGAGAGGAGCCTGAGAACTAAAAGATCTGCCTCCCATTCTACTTTTAGAAATTCTAGGAACCACTAGTAAACCTGCAGATTGAGAGCGAAGTGCTCTGTTAGGAACATAAGGAACAATCAGATCTCTGATATCAGATGGAGCTTGGCCATTTAAGGCTTTATATGTGAGAAGGAGGATTTTAAATTCTATTCTGGATTTAACAGGAAGCCAATGAAGAGAAGCCAGGATAGGAGAGATATGATCTCTCTTTTTCATTTTCATCAGAACTCTGGCTGCAGCATTTTGGATCAGCTGAAGGCTTTTAACTACAGTTTGTGGACTTCCTGACAGTAAAGAATTACAATAGTCCAGCCTTGAAGTAACAAATGCATGGACTAGTTTCTCAGCATCACCCCTGGACAGGAGATTTCTAATTTTTGCAATGTTCCTCAGATGAAAGAAGGAAATTCTAGAAACCTCTTTGATATGGGATTTAAATGACAGGTCCTGATCAAAAATAACACCAAGATTTTTTACTTTATTATCTGAAATCAGTTTAATCCCATCCAAATGAAGTGACTGGCTAATCAGTTTCTTTTTCAGAGACTCTGGTCCAAAGACTATAACTTCTGTTTTGTCTGCATTCAGAAGCAGAAAGTTAAGAGTCATCCAGGTTTTTATGTCTTCAAGACATGCCTGTAATCTATGTAATGGGTTAGCTTCATCTGGATTTATAGACTGATATAGCTGGGTATCATCAGCGTAACAGTGGAAATTAATCCCATGCTGTCTAATAATTCTACCAATTGGGAGCATGTATAAAGTAAAGAGAATTGGTCCTAGCACTGATCCCTGTGGTACTCCACAGGTAACCTTTGAGCGTGTTGAAGATCTATCATTAACATGAACAAACTGAATTCGATCAGATAGATAAGATTTAAACCAGTCTAGTGCTGTTCCTTTAATTCCAACAAAATATTCAAGTCTTTCTAAAAGAATATTATGGTCAACTGTATCAAATGCAGCACTAAGATCCAACAGGACGAGCACAGATACAAGTCCATTATCTGAGGCCATGAGAATATCATTAGTGACTTTCACCAGAGCTGTTTCAGTGCTATGATGAGCTCTAAAGCCAGACTGAAACTCTTCAAAAAGTTCATTATGGTGTAAGTGATCGCAAACTTGTTTGGCAACTACTTTCTCAAGAATTTTGGATAAGAAAGGAAGATTGGATATAGGTCTATAATTGACCAAGTCATCTGGGTCAAGAGACGGTTTCTTAAGCAGAGGTTTAATTACAGCAATCTTAAAAGCTTTAGGTACATATCCCTGTAACAGAGATAGATTAATCACATCTAAAATGGAGGAGGAGATCAAAGGGAATACCTCCTTAAATAACCTGGTTGGAACTGGATCTAACATACAAGTTGAAGGCTTAGATGAAGACAATAATTTTGCTAATTCAGAGAGTTCAACTGGATCAAAGCAGTCTAAACCCAGTCTAAACATTCACCAATATTGCAATTGCAATTTTATTACGTTGGTTTGAAAAAGTGTTTACTTCTGCTTGCATGCATGGATCTCCCTGCTAACTCCAACTCTGTCGACTCTGTGTGGCTGCAAACCCACTTTAAGTGTTTTACTGCTACCTAAAGCACTGGAGTGAGAAATGTAGGGTTATAATCTTGCTGAATGTGATTTGAAAATGTCATTTTATTAAACTGCCATTTTATTGCAGATTAATTGAGCAGTCCTAGTCTGTACGGGGTAAACTGCGAACTGAATTAATGTAAGCTTAGCTTTGATATTAGCTGTTAGGAATCCAACCATCCTCTTTTATTCTTTCCTTTAATCGTGCACATATGTTTTCCTTTGTATTTTCTCCTTTCTTTATGTCAGGTCGACCCCGGTTAGCTTTACTGGTACCTTTTTTTCTGTTGAAACAAACCAACCCTTCTGCTACAGTAAAATGTCTTGGTCCTTGCTGATTGTGACATCCTAATCCCGGTGTGACTATTGCTGCTGCTGCATTAGTAACTGCAGTTCAGGGTTTAATCTCCAGCTGCTTCTAAGCCAGATGGTGTTTAGGAAAAGCTCTGATCTGCCTCAGGAATGCAGCGCTGCGTTCTTGGTACAACATAGAACTCGTGGAGGTATTTCTTTTAATGTACAAACAAAACTGCAATGTCATTGCTTCATTAGTTACCAAGCAAGTACGTTTGAAGTTACATACGTGGTATGAAAAGATGCACAGGGATGTGAAAAGGAAGATGAAACAAGTTGTTCTGCTTAATCTGAAAATGATCTCCACATGCATCTGATTGATTGGCAGCTTAAAGGGTCCATCATGTACTATGACTGGTAAAAAAGCACAAATATAATTAAGATGAAGCAATATACACTAAGTCAGAATTTACTTGGTCCTTTTTGAGGCTGGAAAGAATTTTTCCAGGCAAACATAAACATTGCTGCACAGCAGCGCCTCCTGCTGGCAGCTTTTCCTAAGCTATGGGCAGCTTTAGCAGCTCCAGCCTCAGTGAACTCTTGGCTTCAGCGTTTCCCTCGTGCTACCTGTCTCTCTTCCATCTCACCATCCTTATGGGGTCTCTGCTTGTGAACAATGATGTGTGAAAATAGAAATATGTTCAGTGACTGTGTGAACGCTGATGTAACGTCGTCATGAAACATGAGAATCATGCTTTCGATAAAATGGGATTGTATCAAATTGATTCTTAGAAATGTTCTAATAATTTACTTTCTAGGTTATCAAGATCTTAGGAGATTGCTTTGGCTGTAGTCTGAACTCGGTGGGATACAAAGTTCTACCATCGTACCTGAGGATCATCCAGGGGGATGGAATCGACCTCAGCTCCATGGATCAGGTAGTATAACCCAACATAATCTAATGCTGCCTGATAGAGGCTCATCTAAAGCACAGTTCTGTTTGAAGATACCATGAAGAATAAACATGTCAACTTCTCTGGAAAGCTCAGGAGAACCTGAGCTTTCAGAACCAGAAGTTTATCTGAAGCCTTTCACAGTAAAAGCGACGCAGCGTTTAACTTTAGGCGGCTTCACATTTAAACATGCGTCTGCAAGAGATGGATAATGTTAGAGCAAGTTAAAAAAAATCTTTTCTCGGTCTTTAAGTGGGGAAAATGTCAGCCTAGTAAAGTAGCCCCACCCACCAGCCTGTGTGTGGTCTAAGCCAGGGGTCTTCAACCTTTCCAGGTCAAGGACCCCAAACTCATGGCGAGATGGAGCGGGGACCCCCAAATATTGTATCAAACTGGTCCTATAGTAACTCAACTACAGACGGAGTAATGTAACTAAAGTAATCCCTCCCTGGGATTATTAAAGTATTTCTGCTTCCTGGTTGATGGGACAGGTGTTGTGAATGAAACGGTGTCCAGCTTAAAGAGCTCCTGTGTGTCGCTGAATGTGAGCATTGATGACTGAAAGACATCTTCTGCTTCCATTTATCTGTTTACTACAGTCTGTTGGATTCATGTTAATGTGGATTTAAAGACATTTCAAATAGTGAAAAAAATTACAGTGGAGAACATAAACAAAAAACCCCCAAAACTTTCACGACCCCCATGCAGTACCTCCAGGGCCCCCTAGGGGTCACGGACCCCCTGTTGAAGACCTCTGGTCTAAGCCTCAATCAATGCTCCAGGCCCTAGAACTGGTGGGCCAATCACAACGCAGAGATGAGTTGGATGCAAAGTGGGCGGGGTTTTGAGGGCGGGACGGCAAAGCTGCATGACGCTGAGGAAGCAAAACAAGGAAGATGGCAGCAACTATGGAACAGATCTGGTTAGACTCAGCTTTGGAATCGGTTCTAGAAGGATTAGACTTTAGGTTTTCGTTGAAACGTGAGCAGGAAGAGGCTCTACGCTCATTCACTTTTAAGAGGGACGTATTCACCTTCTTACCGACAGGCTGCTTGTTTACCCTCCCTGACCAGCTTCCTGTTCCGCTTCCTACGTCACAGTCAGCTGCTCTCATTGGTCAGAGCATTGGCCAATAGACACAGACATGGTTTGAAAAACAACGCGTTGTTCTCATCAACAATCTTCCGATGTCTCGTTCATCGGGTCGCCGTTCTTTACAGCCAAGCTAGTTCAGGAAGAACAGTGGGATGAAGAGCCTTTTTTCTAATCATGCCTGTGTTTTTGATTTGGCCCTTTTTTCTCTAGATTCTTGCTAAACTAAGCGATGAAGGCTGGAGTGCTGAGAACGTGCTGTTTGGCTGCGGCAGCTCCTTGCTTCAAAAGCTTAACAGAGATACGCTTAGCTGTGCATTCAAATGCAGCTACGTAGAGACCAATGGCAAAGGGGTGAGTGCTTCAGGACACCATTCATCTGAAAATGTATGGCACACATAGCTCCATGTTGTCTCTAGATACTGGTGACTTCTTTGTGAAAGTCTTTAAATTCCTGCTCTCCAGGTGTGATCTATGCATCAAAGCTCTATGCAGAAGAACAGTCTCTCTGTCTCCTTGCAAACTCTTTAACATCCTTTATTGCTGTTCCAGATGGATGTGTGGAAGCAGCCAGTGACCGACCCTTCCAAGGGATCTAAGAGGGGGCGATTGTCTCTGAGGAGAAACTCAGACGGCTTCCTGGAGACGTTGGAGAGCGGCGCGGGCAAACCTGAGGAGGTCTGTCACACCCGGTCTGATTCAGTTAAAAGCATCTTTAAATGTTTATTTCTCTTTTCAAAAGAATCATTATTACCCATCAGTGAAGTCTTTATTCCATCTGTATTTTAAACACTAAAACCTTGCTGATTTCAGGTGATTTTAGTGATGACATCATCAACCCTCATTAAAAATGCTGTTATCCGTTCTTAAAGTTCACTGACATCAAATTCAGCGAATGTTCTGTGTATTTCACTGACGTTGGTTTCTTGACCTTTCACCTCTCTCACTTACAATCCACACATAAGGGGGCGCCCTCGGTAAAATCCCGCTCAGCTCGCCTCACTGCCTTATCAAAGAGGAGCGTTGCTCCAGTTTCCATTTCCAGGCGCCAGTTTAACTCACCTTGGCAGACGGTCATTTAAGGAGCGAGTCCGAACCCTTTTCCCTGCGTCGCGTTTGGGTGCAATGAGTGAAATGGAGTTCTTTCTGTCAAACTGTCAGACCGTAGTAGCCATGTTAGCTCAGCCATGTCTTTGTCCAAATACGTCGTCTCCTTTTCTTTTTAGGGCTTTCAGCACTAAATTGCCCAAATATCCAAGGCAGCGCGTTTCACTCTAGTGAGCTTCATGTTCCTCTGCTACTGGTTTGGCTTCCAGATAGACGAGTCCGAGTAGCGCCATCTCACTGCGGAGCTGAGACCCACCTGGTTTTTAGACGTACAGTGTGAGCAGTTAGATCGCATCAGAGCGTCGGGTCGCACAGATCAAACATGGTGAGCTGGGAACTTTTAGGGATGCACGATATTGGGATTTTGGCCGATATCCGATATGCCGATATTTTAAAACTCATGTAGCCGATAACCGATATCGATACCGATGTTAAAGCTGGACAAAAATAAGTAGTCATTGAAAATAGCAGTTCTGTTATCCATTTCTGACACTTTGAAAAATAATATACTCAAATATATTTTCATATGCTGATATCAAATAGATTTTTAAAAACGCGGTATCGATCTATTTTACTTTCAAAATCTGGTGAAATTTCATCGTTCTGTTACAAACTCTCGTGATATTTTGCAAATTCTTGTGAGATTTTGTTAGTAAAATAGATCGATACCGCGTCAATATATCAACATATAAAAATATGGCAACATTTGGTGAATTTTCGGGGGATTTCGTAGCATAACGATGACATATAGCAATATTTCATTAGTAAAAGAGATTGATATGGTGTTTTTAAATGGCAATATATCAGCATATGAAGATATTGGGATATTTTAATGGATCAACATTTTTTCCCTGGTCTTTAGAAGTTTTTAAGTCTGTAAAAAAGAAGTTTTTGAGGAAGAAGAAGAATTTGTTTTTTTTTTTTTTAGACTTTAGAAACTCAGAAGCTGATCAAATATCGGGTTAAATATCGGTGGGGTGGCCGATGTCCGATATTCAGTTTTGGGGCCGATTATATCGTGCATCCCTAATTCATACCTTGTGTTTAGCCCTACAGTGGGAGCTGTAGCTGCGTGCAACGATGTGCATGCCTGGCTTTACATTCCAAGCCCACACTGGTTTATTAACGCAACCCCAAGTGACCAAACAAAAGTTCCGATTATGGACTCCAGTAAAATCCCGATTTGCTCCATCTGTCCGTCTGAGTCGCAGTTCGGTGTTGCTTTAATCAAACTTTTCGCACCATTCAAAGCACATCCTTCACCAACCTTTCATTCACATTTGAAGCACCCTGGCATGTAAATAATTTGGTATTTAATGTGGATGCACCAGTGACCATCATCCTAATGTTAACCTGTAAATGAAAGCTATGTGTTTATGTGCTTTCTTTCTCTGCGGTTCTTTTTCCTGAGAAGGGATCTCTCTGGACAAACTCTTTAAATAACTTCATAATGTTTTTGTATTGAATAACCAGGAGACTTTAGAAAAGATTTAGATAGAAGTCATAATCTTACTCAGATCAGAGAAGTTGCTTAGAGTTCCAGAAGGCAGCTCTTAGCAAACGGACTCGCATCTCATGAAGTGGCCCGAATCCCAGTTAGCATCTAATACGACATCATCATATCATTACATCATAGATGTTGATGAGGAGATGATGACATCCATGACTCCAGCCTTATCAAAATATTACACTCTGTTCTGTAGGACTGCAACTACAGATTATTTTACAGATCGATGAATCTGTGGATTATTTTTTCGATTGATTAATAATTTATAGCCAAAGTTTCCTTTTACTTACCCAAATGAAACTAAAACTTTTCCACTAAGGAGTTCTGGATTATAGAACATGCTGACACATGTTTTCTAATCTTAGATGCAGATATAATGTCTTTCCTCTGTTTTTGTCCACCACCATAATGACCGGCTGGTTTGCCATCACCATTCTGGAATTCTAACAGGATCTTTGCTTGGAGGCGTTTCCCACTGTGACCTTGGGGTTTCCAGCTCACACTCTGCACTGATGTTCCTGTTTTCTATTCCAGCCACTTGGTCATGGCGCTCCATGTTAGCTTTCCCTGCCAGCATCTTCCACCCTGCAGTTATGTGCTGGATTGTCTCAGGGGGCTCTTTGCACAGTCTGTCCCTGGGGTCTTGTCTGGTGTGGTAGATCTGGGTCTCTGTTGCTCTGCTGCTAAGGGCCTGCTCCTGTGCAGCCATGATGAGTGCCTCTGGGCTGCCCTTCAGTGTTTGTCTAGACCAGGCATCCCCAAACTCGGTCCTCGAGGCCCCCTGTCCTGCAGGTTTTAGAGGTTTCTCTGCTTCAGCACAGCTGATTATAATGATTGCAGTAGAGCAAAAGCCTGTTAATCAACTATCAATTAAAATCAGCTGTGCTGGAGCAAGGAAACCTCTAAAACCTGCAGGACAGGGGGCCTTGAGGACCGAGTTTGGGGATGCCTGGTCTAGACATCGGTAGGATTTCCTGATATCTGCCACTTCGATAATGTTTCAGGGGTCCATCCCATGTAGGGGCTTACCCTCCCATGATGGAACCTCCAGCCTCCTTTCTGTTCCCCATTGTCTGAGACATTCACTGAGGACGTTCTCTGTTGGAGCCTTGTCCTTGATGTACTTATGGATCTTGGATGTTTGGTCCTGGATAGTGTCTCTCACCCTCACTGGTCCTCTGCCTCCTTCCTTACGGCTGGCGTCTCAGGGTGCTGGATTTGGGCTGGTACCCTCCAGGAGCCTTCGTGTCTTATCATCTGTGGCCTGTACCTCCTCCTTTGGCCAGCTTATTATTCCTGCAGGGTATCTGATTACTGGTAGAATGCAGCTATTTATTTATTTTCATACAATTCCTAGGGACGCACGATATAATTGGCCCCCTATCGGTATCGGTCTTAAAACTGAATATCGGACATCGGCCCCCCCACCGATATTTAACCCGATATTTGATCTGCTTCTGAGTTTCTAAAGTCTAAAAAAAAAAAAAAAAAGTACTTCTTCTTCTTCTTCCTCAAAAACTTCTTTATTACAGACTTAAAAACTTCTAAAGACGAGGGAAAAAATGTTGATCCATTAAAATATCCCAATATCTTCATATGCTGATATATTGCCATTTAAAAACACCATATCAATCTCTTTTACTAATGAAATATTGCTATATGTCATCGTTATGCTACGAAATCCCCCGAAAATTCACCAAATGTTGCCATATTTTTATATGTTGATATATTGACGCGGTATCGATCTATTTTACTAACAAAATCTCACAAGAATTTGCAAAATATCACGAGAGTTTGTAACAGAACGATGAAATTTCACCAGATTTTGAAAGTAAAATAGATCGATACAGCGGTTTTAAAAATCTATTTGATATCAGCATATGAAAATATATTTGAGTTTATTATTTTTCAAAGTGTCAGAAATGGATAACAGAACTGCTATTTTCAATGACTACTTATTTTTGTCCAGCTTTAACATCGGTATCGATATCGGTTATCGGCTACATAAGTTTTAAAATATCGACATATCGGATATCGGCCAAAATCCCAATATCATGCATCCCTAATAATTCCTGCTCTAAGTGAGTTGCTCTGTCGGCTAAATACAGGTGCTGGTCATAAAATTAGAATATCATGAAAAAGTAGATTGATTTCAGTAATTCCATTTAAAAAGTGAAACTTGTATATTATATTCATACAATACATACAAACTCATATATTTCAGATGTTTACTTTGTTTAATTTTGATTATTACAAATGACAACAAATGAAAATCTCAAATTCATCATATCAGAAAATTAGAATATTGTGAAAAGGTTCAAAATTGATGGCCCCTGGTGCCACACTCTAATCAGCTAATTAACTCAAACCACCTGCAAAAGCCTTTAAATGGTCTTTCAGTCTAGTTCTATAGGCTACACAATCATGGGGAAGACTGCTGACTTGACAGTTGTCCAAAAGACGACCATCGACACCTTGCACAAGGAGGGCAAGACACAAAAGGTCATCGCTAAAGAGGCTGGCTGTTCACAGAGCTCAGTGTCCAAGCACATTAATAGAGAGGCGAAGGGAAGGAAAAGATGTGGTCGAAAAAAAGTGTACAAGCAAGAGAGATAACCGCACCCTGGAGAGGATTGTGAAACAAAACCCCTTCAAAAATGTGGGGGAGATTCACAAAGAGTGGACTGCAGCTGGAGTGAGTGCTTCAAGAACCACCACACACAGACGTATGAAAGACATGGGTTTCTGCTGTCGCATTCCTTGTGTCAAGCCACTCTTGAACCACAGACAGCGTCAGAAGCGTCTTGCCTGGGCTAAAGAGAAACAGGACTGGACTGCTGGTGAGTGGTCCAAAGTCATGTTCTCTGATGAAAGTAAATTTTGCATTTCCTTTGGAAATCAAGGTCCCAGAGTCTGGAGGAAAAGAAGAGAGGCACTTCATCCACGTTGCTTGAAGTCCAGTGTAAAGTTTCCACAGTCAGTGATGGTTTGGGGTGCCATGTCATCTGCTGGTGTTGGTCCATTGTGTTTTCTGAGGTCCAGGGTCAACGCAGCCACATACCAGGAAGTTTTAGAGCACTTCATGCTTCCTGCAGCTGACCAACTTTTTGGAGATGCAGATTTCATTTTCCAACAGGACTTGGCACCTGCACACAGTGCCAAAGCTACCAGTACCTGGTTGAAGGACCATGGTATCCCTGTTCTTAATTGGCCAGCAAACTCTCCTGACCTTAACCCCATAGAAAATCTATGGGGTATTGTGAAGAAGAAGATGCAATACACCAGACCCAACAATTCAGAAGAGCTAAAAGCCACTATTAGAGCAACCTGGGCTATCATAACACCTGAGCAGTGCCACAGACTGATCGACTCCATGCCACGCCGCATTGCTGCAGTAATACAGGCCAAAGGAGGCCCAACTAAATACTGAGTGCTGTACATGCTCATACTTTTCATGTTCATACTTTTCAGTTGGCCAACATTTCTATAAATCCTTTGTTTTTATTGGTCTTCAGTAATATTCTAATTTTCTGATATGATGAATTTGAGATTTTCATTTGTTGTCATTTGTAATCATCAAAATTAAACAAAATAAACATCTGAAATATATGAGTTTGTATGTAATGTATGAATATAATATACAAGTTTCACTTTTTAAATGGAATTACTGAAATCAATCTACTTTTTCATGATATTCTAATTTTATGACCAGCACCTGTACATGTTCTAGAGCAGGGGTCTTCAAGGTTTTCCAGGCCAAGGACCCCCGAACTGATGGCGAGATGGAGCGAGGACCCGCTAACTATATATACTGTAATGTATGTCGTGTAACAAAAGTAATTTTTTCCTGGGATTATTAAAGTATTTCTGATACGCAGACCTCTTTGATGGTACAGGTGTTGAAACCTTGAAAGCTTTTGAAAGAGCTCCTGTGTGTCGCTGAATGTGAGCATTGATGACTGAAAGACATCTTCTGCCTCCGTTGATGTTACTACAGTCTGTTAAATTCATGTTAATGTGGATTTAAAGACATTTCAATTAGTGGAAAACGTTGCAGGGGGGATATAAAAAAAAGTCTAATCAACCAAAACTTTCGCGACCCCCATTCAGTACCTCCGCGGACCCCCTAGGGGTCGCGGACCCCCTGTTGAAGACCTCCGTTCTAGAGTCTCTAAACTGCAGTTAACGATAAATCGATTATTGATTTGGTTGATGACTATTTAAATAATCTAATTAATCATGATGTTTCAGTCGTTGTCACGAAAAATTATTTTTTTAATTAATCAGAAAAAAACAAGTGTTTTATTTCCCTTTCTTTATTTCAAAGGGAAACATTTAAACTGTAACAATAACATTAAATCGTCATTCAATGTGCTTCAGTTAATAACATTGTTTTGACTAATTTTATAATATTATCAATATAAAAAAAAGTGTGAAATATGTTTAACTTTGGAGCTACAATGGGGCGATCGGTGTAAAAGCAGAACAAACCTCTGAAGGCCATTTTACTGCATGAAATCAGTTCAGCAGAACTTCTCTGTGTGCCTGGAGTTGATCCTGTGAGGTGTTAAGAAACGTTCAGACCTCCAGTTAAACGCTGCTCTTCCTTCCACAGGATCTTCTGGTGACTGTTTTTGAGAATGGCAGCCTGGTGCAGGACTACTCTCTGGAGGAGATCAGGAAGAACGCTTTGCTTCGGGATGAGGAGCTCATTCCAAACCTGAACCACCATGAACACGAGCTGCTGCACAACCACATCAACGGCAGCATCCATTAGAGTGCCAGCGCCATCGATGGGCGCCACGGTACTCTACGCACCACGCTGCGTCGGGTCATTCAGAAATCACAGATGATATCATGACGTGTTGATTATTTCCTGCCAAGAACCACAAACGACCCACTGCTGCAACCTTCATGTCTGAGAGCCAAACCCCCCCTCCATGTACACCTGCTTCCCTCACAGCCATAAAGTTCAGCCATGTTTCCGCCGCAGCGTGAAGCTCAGGTTAAATATGAGTTAAAGTTCTTCTTCCTTAAAAACACATTCTTTCCCTGATGGACACCAGGAAAAGCTGATGTTTGCCATCACTGTGACGCTGACGCTCCAGGACGGATTATTACAGTTTGAGGGCTCCCCCTAGAGGAAGCTAGTGTAATTGCAGAAGCCTGACATGCAAAATTTAAATGCATAGAAAACCCGTTTTAAGATATTTTTAAAGTGTTGATATTAACGTTGAATTCTGTTGCACTGTAAAATAAACAGGTCAACTTCAAATATTTTAAAGGTGGTAGTTTTGTGGTTTAAAAGGTTGGGCTTTCTTTAATATCAATATGTAATTTATTGCAGTTGATTTTTCTTTATTCATTTGCTGAAAAGTTTAGTTTGGGAAGAAGGAATATGGAAAAAAAAAACAAAACCAAGCCAGAAAACGTGGGAACCACTGATTCAGAGGAACCTGCAGGACCGTCAGCAGGACTTATGCTGCAGCTTTAGTCGGATGAGGTTTAGAGCAGAAGAAGCTAAATAAAAAAGAAAGTGTTTGACCAACCGGTGCTCTAAATGTTTCCACGTGGAACTATAAAACAAAAAGCTCTCCGGTCTAAAATCCAAACCTGGAAATTGCAGCTCATTTACCGAACAATTCCTGATCTTCAGTCGTTTTATGTCCTAATGCAGAGTGAGGAGCTCTGGGTTGTTCAAAGGTTGTTTTTTTTTTTATTTGAGGAAACTACAGTGGATTAATGCAGACAATAAACTGTCTAATACATACCTCTTATTTTTAGTGTATATTTATTTACAAATACGTAAATATATCTTGATATAAAATAGAAACAATGCTTTCTTCCCCATTCTGTTTGTTGTTTTCTGTAACATCTGTCTAACAAACCAGTGAAGACTCAGATTGTCAAGACTGGTTGAAGTGGAACCAGTTTGTCGTCAGAGTTCAAGCTTCATTCCGTGTCTTTAAATAGTTTAAATGACTTTTATATCATTTAATGTCTGATTTTAGCATTTTGTTTGGATCCTTAACTTGAAAATCATCAAAATTACTTGTTTTTTTTTTTAGTTTTTAACTTGTTTGTTGTTTATTTGCATAAATCAGCTTATTTGTTTCATAGGATTAAACTTGAAAAGATGCATTTAATATTAAATTGTCATTTCTGAGTGAAATCTTTGCTTTATTGTGCAGTTAAACTCCAACAGCTGAGCTTTTTATATAAACTGAGCTCATTTTTTTCAAATGAACCATGAAGCTGTTGTCATGACAGTTCATTTCCAAACCCTATTGCTCGACAGAGATGGGAAGTAACGAAGTACAAATACTTCGTTACTGTACTCAAGTAGATTTTTCTGATATTTTTGCTTTACTTAACTACTTATTTTTATTACTTTTTACTTCTACTCCTTACATTTTTACACAAATATCTGTACTTTCTACTCCTTACATTTTAAAAAATTGGCTCGTTACTTTAGTTTTGAATCATTTCAATGGAGTTACCGTTATTATTTTTCACGTCATCAATACCAAATTCAATCTAATTGGATGGGAATCTACGTTGCATTTGACCATAGGCGGATCTACTGGGGTGGCATAGGGTGGCAAATGCCACCCTAAATGACAGCCTTGCCACCCCTGCTGCCACCCCAGTTGGCGGTAGGGGCGGCGAGGCTTATAAATTATGGATCATTTGAGAATTACGACCGCAAATTTCCAATGTCGGACTGCAGTGAATGCAGCACGAGATGACGCGAGAGCGACTGAGACTGATTGTTTTGAAAACCGAATGGGGCAAAGCGAGGGAGCCAGGGGTGATGGGGAGAGGAGACACAGGATGAAACAGGTAGAAACTGATTAACTATCGAGAAATGAAATCATAATGAAAGCACAATGTTGCTAGCATAGCTGTAATGCTGATTTACAGATGATAAAAATCAGGTTGCAGAACGTTATTTCTCTATCTATGATGTTAGTTAGGCCTGACGTCTCAGCCTCATAAAGACATATTTGCGGTCAACTATGACAGAAAAGAGACGATCAAGTTTGGTTGTACTCAAATCAAAACGCACAAAGGCATTGGATCTAGATAAAGTTGTGAAGCATTTTGCTGAGCAACATGGAAATCGCAGCATTCAGCTGTTATAGTCATGTTAACTTTATGTTCTGCTCTCTGGTGAGCCTTTACAGAGCTGCTACATTTTGTTTTGGCACCTGAGAAAATCTGATATTTCCTTTAATAAAACCAAAAGTGTTAAAAGTTAAAAATGTGAAACTGGTGTAAATCCTGCTTAATATGAAGCAGTGTTGTTGTTTCTTTTTTTGTATATATAGTATGAAATTATCCAGAAATGACCCGTATGAACCTACTCACAAGCAAAATGTATTTTTTATGTTGCTTCTTTTCAGATTTGTGGAGATTTTGATGTAACAAACAGAACCCGCCTTTTTGTTGATTTGTTGATACAGCAGTATGGAGGAACAACTCTGCCATATTTAAAAATAAATACAGAAATAAATAAATGCTTAATAAATAAATAAGCATACAATTCATTGCCACCAAAAATACAAACAACAAATAAATGTAAGTAGAAATTAAATTATACAGCTAGTCATAAAGGTATATAATAGTGCTGTCAAAATTATCGCGTTATTATCGCGTTAACGCGAGGCCATTTTAACGGCGATAATTTTTTTAACGTGAGATTAACGCTATGTGGTTTTATGGTACAATTTTCCAAGTACATCCCGCTGCAGCCTGCGGGAAGGCGGGGCTATTTTCCCCCAGTCTATGCATTTCTCATAGGCTTCAAGAGCGGAGCTCCTCAAGGGAAAAAGACGCTCATACACTGGGTGGCGCTAGTGCCTTTTCTTTAAGCCCCACCACCAACAAACAAGTTGAGTGTCTGGTAACTAGTAGCAACCTGAAATACGCTGAGAAAACAGATTACTGAGGTGAAATGGAATCTGCTACGGCACTCTTGCTGTCTGTGTACGCCACAGGTCGGTATCGTGTGTGTGTGTGTGTGTGGGTGGGTGTGTGTGTGTGGGTGGGTGTGTGTGTGTTCTCATTTTTGTTAAGAGGCTGAAAAGTAACTTTCTAGAGCATAGACTACCTCCATCTAGTGATGTCGGTCTATTGATTTTGATGTATTGATTGAAAATTGTTCATTATTATCTTGGTTAATTAACATCTAATGTTAACTGTACTACATTTTATAGCAGTAGGGTAAAATGCTTGTCTTTGTTCAAAAGACTGTATTAACTGTAAAGACTGTCTTTTACATCAGCCTGTTTTCAGGGCCTTTTTTTTGGCTACATATTTGTTATTTTTTGCTACATGCCTCCCCATCTTCTTGCCATATGTTTCTATGGCATAAATCAGTATCTGTGACCTGTTTTCATTTTAAAAAAAGAACATTGGCACAAACCTAGCCTGTATGTATTTTTTGTATGTCATCGAGAGTATTTAAATGATTTTCAATCAGAAAAAAAATTTGCGATTAAAATGCGATTAATAGCGAGTTAACTCAGGCATTGATGCGATTAATCGCGATTAAAAAAATTTAATCGATTGACAGCACTAGTATATAACTCTTTTAATTGGCTTCTTTATTTCTCTGCCTTTTTAATATTTACCTTATTTATTTTTTTGTCATTTATTATCTTCAACTTCATTTTTTTATTACTTATATTTTTAAGTATTTATTTAAGTGCATGTTATAATATTTTTGTCTGTTTTATTCTTCCTTTGTATTTTTTTTACCCTAGTTATTTCTTCGCCGCTATTTCTTTCTGCCTGCCCTTTTAACAGTTCTGCCTGCCATTATAATATAATTTCTAATTGTATTTATTTGTTGATTGTATTTTTGGTGGCAATTAATTGTATGCTTATTTATTTATTGAGCATTTATTTATTTCTGTATTTATTTTTAAATATGGCAGAGTTGGTCCTCCATATACAGCTCTATCTACAGCATATTTACATGCATGAAATGTCCCTTTCATGTTGCCTTAACTGCTGTATGTCACGTTACTGAGGAACAAATGGGGTAAATGTGTGTTCAGAGTAAACATTACATAGATGTCCAGTACCTTGTTCGGGTGCCTTGACCCATTTATTTCTACTGTGTAGTTCTGCTCACTTTAGTGCAGCTCAGTCCATAGATCTCTGATGGGAAACTTTATCTTTCTATAGTTTCTTCTTGTGCAAATGCTGCAAAGCTGCCTCTCTGACAGTCAATCTCACACATCTATACTCAGCACCTGTGTCTTACCTTAATACCTTTCCTGTGATAAGGCCCCCCTAGAAGTAGTGTTATCATTCTTCTATCTCCTATTAATTGAGATCTCATTGTACGATGTATTATTAATATGAACTGTTTCACATGAAACACTAGTACTGTACATACTATTCTCACCAAACTGTGATAACTGTGATTAAATTCAGTGTAAACAAATGCCATGTGTTGCCACCCCTAAAAAAATTCCTGCCCCCCTCTTGCCACCCCATAAATATTTTTCTAGATCCGCCCCTGCATTTGACGCACCACTACAAGATGAATCGACAGATTCGGCGGTATTCATTGGCGGCAAATCATTGCAGCTTGGTGGCGGTGGCGTTAGCATAGTAGCATGGACGACGAGATGATTGAAAATGAACACAACGGAGATCTAGTCCTATTGGCAGACATCCATTTAAAATGTAGGCAACGGCATGAAAAAAGTGGTTTCTACTTTTACTTTTATACTTTAAGTAAATTTACAAGCCTGTACTTTGTTACTTTTACTTGAGTAAAGAAGTTTAATCAGTACTTCCACTTTTACCAGAGTATTTTTCAACACAAGTATCTGTACTTTTACTCAAGTACGGAAAGTGAGTACTTTTGCCATCTCTATTGCTCAAACTCTTTAACCAGAATAACTTTTAAGGATCTTTTCATTGAAATCTGTTTTTGTTTTGCATTTTTAGCCCAAAGCATTTGTGATGCACACAGCTTTTCTAAATCAATCTTTAAAAATAGAATCAGGAACTTAGTTGGTGCCTCTTGGTGCATTAATATGGAAGCTATGTCCCCCTGAAGGCGGCTGCGCCTCAGAACTTCCCCACCGGTTCTTTACCTGGGAGCAAGTTATCTACTACTCTTAACTCAAACTGGGTAAAACCAGATAAAGGACTATAAAACAGGAGTAAAAATGTAACAGCATTAATTCCAGGTCAGGTCGTTACAGGACAGAGAAATTGCTTAGGGTTTGCACAGCTGTGGGCTCAAAAAACGTCCGTGAGTGTCCGGCAAAGATTGAGCCCTGAACAAAGTCATCTCCTCCTTCTTATACCTCATGAGTCTATGTGTTGCATCAGGTGGAAGCTCAGCTGTCAGTATTAGAAACTGACACGCCATCCATGCCTTGAACTTCATGCATCTTGCCTCTTTACCTCAGGATTACACATAGC